ACGCGTTTGGAGGTCACTTCTGCCGCCACCCGTCGGGATATGCTGCAAAACGGTTGAAGGAAAGTGTGTTCCACCAGGTCTCTCCAATTCATTATTGCCTGGCTGCATTAAAACTTCCGTCGCTCGAACCGCCGTTTGCCCGAGGAATGCAACGGCAGGTAAGCCAACAGAGTAGAAGTAGTGATGCGGCATCATTCCTCTTGTCCTTTTTCTGACCCTTCACTATGGCTGGAGGCGAGGGGTATTATAGGCACAAATGGTTGGCATTTGCATTTGAACAGTCTAAAAGCATTTTTATTGCTAGTAGTCTTTTGCCACGAAATGACGGATTTAGGCAAACAAGCCGAAGATAAGGGCTGATATCTCAGCAAACTGTCTAAATGGCGTTTGAAAACTGAGACCAACTCCAGTTTGACGTATAAATCCCACTTACAATAAATGACCTCTCTCACATTTATGGAGATTTTAGTTGTCGAGAGCCACAATGCTTGCACCATCAACTCACGGTTAAAACTTGTGGATTAGAACCCCATCAGATGGAAATTTTTTTGCTTGCTTTGTAACAAATGAAAATAACTATGGCAAAAGAATGTCGACTAAATTCACCGATAGTGCAAATAGTTCTAACGGTACTGCCACGAAACACCAAATTGTTACCACAATGGAAGAATGGCGGTAAAGTCAATGCAACGGCAGACGTAAAATACACATGAACGATTACGATCGCCACAAATCTCAAGTCGTCTTGAATTTATTTGTGCATCCCAACTAATTGCAACACTGGGCCATTCCTATTGTGTATTCATTGGAATACTAAAAAATCGGACGGAAATCACATGGAGGACCTGCCAGTTTTACATGGGAGTAGTTTGGAAGTTTTCCTGAATGAACAGGTATATTTGTCTCTTTGCACACAAATAAAACGTCTCTTTGACAATTAGTGTGGGTTAGTGGCTAGGATTTAAGTGGTAAAATGTGGTTTCGGAAATGAAATAAGAAAAAATTCCTTGCATGTTGCACACTACAGATTCAACACGTGCTTTGTGCAAACAGCCTGTCTCAATAAACAATGAACAGCAGAAACGAGAAGCACATTCTGTTAAGACCAGAAACACGGCTCCTGTGACAGACATGTGTAATACAACTTTTGACTGATGCTCAAAAATGGCTTAGCGAAGCCTCTGGGATCGATTGCACCAAACAAGCGAAATGGCAGCAAAACTTGCGTTGACTCGAGGCATTGCAGCGTTTAGGAAAGTCACAAGGAACAATAAAATCCAAAACCATTTTGTCAAAAATGTGGAAAAAAGTTTGGCGTATAAAAGATGATAAACATATGTGCGAGGAAAAAGAAACACCAACTAAACGAGAGTGCATCAGCACAGACGATCTAAGAATGCTAGATGCACACACGATGAATCCGAGGAAGTAAAGTTACGATGCCGCTAACAACTAGCCAAGAATCAAGGGTAGGATGAAAGGATACAAACACGTTAAAAAGAATATTTATTCGTCAACATGACAGTTGTTCGCACCACATGGATGAAGGTTATAATAAAGATAAGAAAGCAAATAGTCAAAGTCAATTATTTGCAAGCTTTTGATGTTCCACAATAGGAAGAAGCAAATGTCAAAACATCTGACAAGACCTACCAAAAAAGGAGACTCACGTCCAGTTAAACTACATGGGTCTGTAAGATTATCACAGGCAGAACAAGTGGGCAGCAATGTACCTTTCTATCAGTACCAGCGAATAACTACAACCGTCAAGGATAAAAAGAGGATATTCGAGACTAATAACGGCGTTAATCACTGGCATCAGGATTGCTTCGGCAGCCTTTATTCGACGTACAACGAACACAATAGTTGGCAGAAACTTAGTCGAAGTAGAGCGAGCGTCGGCAAGAGGGAAAAGCAAGACCACAAAACTCTACAGACTATTGGACCAAGACTAATTGCCGATGCAAATCCAACACTACTTAAGCAGGAAAAATACTCGTTGGTGACGATCGCAGGCGAAATTAATAAACAAACATTAGCCTGTGTCAATATCGACCCTAATTATATAAAACTGATTTGAAATATGCTTACATGCATAAAAAACGGAGGCTGCTGCATTGAACCTGATGCCCGATGCGTTCAAGAAAATGTTAACCTTTCGGGCAGCAAATATACAAACTACGATTTCTGCCCAACCGAATCGGTAAAAAATGATTATCGGCGAAATATATAGCTCATGTGAAAAGCTAGAGTTCGCGAACATCATCCAAACGGTCCAACAGGAATAAACGATTATATAATTTAGAACATGAGTTCGCACGATTTTTGAAGGTTTTCTGACAACAACAGATAAGGAAAATTGCAGAAATGTCGACCATAAACACGATACCCAGTTAAAATAAACGAAGCATATCATGATGCCTCCGAAGGTGTTAAAGGAACTGTCAAATGTACTTTGTGGTTGACACTCATAGAATACTTTGAAGAGTAGATTACACTTAACATTAATAAAATCGAACATGAAACTGGGAACAACGGGCATTAAAAAATCCATGTTGAAGATTGTCCTCACCAAACAAGTTGGAGATTCGAGGAGAAAAAGTATTGACCGTTTCAGGAAAATACCTCTTTCTTCAAAGACCCACACAAACTAACCCAAATGCAAAATAAGAGTCAGTTCAAAAGATGGCACAGTTTGGATCACCAATCATTTGCCAGCTGCGATGGATATAAACTAAGAGAAATGCATTTCAGTGACTTGGAATCACTGCAAACTTGGAGAAGCACAGATCCATTATGTGATGCCAAAAACGGTGTATGCAGAATTAATATAATTTTTTGCTATTTAAAAACGCCGTTTCATTAACTTTACTTGCAATTGATTACACTGCAGCCAAGGGCTTTTCATGATATTTGTCTTCAATCATTTTCACAGGCCTATATTAAACACTGACCGTGGTATCGAAACGAAGTAATCTTCCCACTAACTCTATGCTTTGCGCAGCACTATCTGATGTGCTGAATGTTACATTTATTTGAGGGAAGTGCACAACACCCGTGAACAAGTATTCGAAAAAGTTAAATTTACTGTTGCAATTGAATGAAACATCAAAGATGCTGTTTAAAATGTCGGAGTCTTTGAAATGAATTATGTTCATGTAGAAGCAAGAAAGGAATATTCCGAGAAAAAGAGGCGATTTAAGCGGTACTGTTCAGCCTACCTGTATGGACTGCAGGACATTTGTTTTCGAAAAGACCGACAGGGGACGCTAAGGCAGAAATTGCCATTTCTGTATCCAAATAATTGTGCATTTTCATTATTGGCTAATTCGACGATTTTGGTTTGACGGATGTAGAGAGCCAAATCAGAATATTGAAAAGCAAAAGGTAAAAGTCAACCGAAGTGATCGGAAAAAAATTCCTTAACCTTAAATGTTCCACAGAATGGCTTAAATCGATAGCTTTTACATGTAACACACTTTTTCTATTAATCGATGTAATTAATTTGCATTATATGATCAATTACGGCTTCTGCCGCGTGAAATGCACATATAGAACTTTAAATGAGCTGACCTGTAAGTCACTGGCTCAAACGTTTTGTGTGCGACTTTTGCTCTTCCGTTGTCTTTCTGGTTTATGGGTTATTGCATGGCGCATTAAGAAGATTTTTCTCTATAAATATGAATATTTTGGATTTATTACCAGCTGTTGCGTCATGGGCCCTGTTGATTATTCTTAACACAATATATTTTGTATTTATGTAAGTTTATTGTTATGTGTTCATTTGAGGTAATGCACTAATTGTGCTGGAAATTTATGTCTGTGTTTCTCATAATTTTATCCTTGTGGCCATTCTTAAAGTCTGACTCCTGTCACTTTGCAAACAGGAATCGCGATTTTGTTTTTGCAATGTAAATTCGATGTGATGTTGACGGTTTTCTGGTAACTAATTTTGTCTATATTTATGGTAGCAAGTTCAAAAATTTAGTTCTAGCGGTGGTTTCCACGGCCTTGGTAAACACAAATTTAGGCAGTCTAAAGCCAGATCATTGGATATCTGCTTTTTACCTGCTTGTTGTTAACGGGCCAACGCCTCTCTGCCACAAATGTTTTTAGTATATAAATTCTTATAAGACGTTGAAGCGTATTATTGGTTCCGTTCGTTCTGGAGTGTCTAGGATAAGGCAATCTTGGCGCCTTGCACAGATGTATTTCATTTATTTAATTTGTCTTGTCATTAATCCTGCACACGTTGATTTCATTTCTGACTTCGAGGTCTATGCTAGCACTCTAATTGCATCCTGTTCGCATAATGAGAATCTCGGTATGTCGATTTATCTGTTGTTTGGTAGGTGCGGGGGATGTTGGTGATAAATGTGACTTGCAGTTAGTAGACCAGATTATTAATAGTCCTTTCTGTGTCATTGATAGTGAAGCTAAAAATTCGGAAGTTGGTGATGCCAGTTCCCATGTGCAGGGACTGTTTAAATGATGTGTTACACAGAAGGCAAATGCTCTCGAGATCTGAGCCGACATATGACTTATCAAAAGTCGTGTGGCAATCAATTTCATATTCCAGTTAACTCAATATATTCCGCTTTGTAAAGTCTTAGGATTATTAAGTGTATTTGTCTAGAAATATTTTGCCAAAATGACTTCTAATGCCCCGAACTGTCTACCTAAAATAAATTTTTTGATGCGTCGTTGATGGGCGTATTTTTGTTGATTAGTGCAATGCGACAAGTATGAGTCAAGAGATCTGGTGGTCATAATTATCGATGACTATATTCGAATGTTACATGGTGGTCGATTCGCTCGACCGTAACAATAAACATGGTCATTACATACATAAGACGTGGTCAGCTTAAAAACTCAGCCATTACATAATAAACTTGGCCTTAATGTCGTGGTTCGGAGAGCCCACGATTTTTCGATACAAATCCAAACTACTGTTTACCATTACCAAATCATAGATGAGATTTCAAATTGTTCTATTGTAGATGTTTCGAGTTCTCCCAGAATACATCATGGGCACTTTTTATTATCCACTTAGTATTTGTTCTGTTCGTTGTCATCATCTTTGCTCGAACTACCTTCATGGACCCGGGCTACTTTCCTGTTGGTAGGTATTGCTTTTTCACCTGTCTAATACATCCCAGCTCTCGACACTGAGGCCAACTACTATGATGATATAGATGCTCCGCTTTTTCATGAATATGAGGTTCGTGGGACAGTAGTCAAGATGAAGTGGTGCAGCACTTGCAGGTTTTATCGGCTTCCACGGTCGACACATTGCTCAACGTGTAACAAGTGTGTTGAGGTTAGCGTCCTTTGCCTCTGATCAAATGTATTTGTAGAACTTTGACCATCATTGTCCCTGGGTAAACAATTGTATAGGCAGACGAAATTATCGATACTTCTTGACCTTCTTGGTTGCGCTTTCGCTTGATATGGTCGTTGTTTTCTTCGTTTCTTTGCTTTTTATTATGCGGTCCTCGCAACCACTCAAATACTACACGAACATCATTGCGTATCCTTTTTTATCGGGTTGTTCGCTTTATCTCGCAATAAAATCGAGCTCTTTTTTAATAGGCACAAGTAGTGTCGTAATTTGTTGAAGTTCTTGAGCCTAAATGTATGCCTGCGTAAAATTGGTACAAGAAGATATGTCACTTGTTTCCTTAATCAAAATTAAACATGTAGTGTCGTCCTCATGGCCTTCGTCGGGATGATTTTTTTGCCAGTCTTTAGTCTTACTATGTTTCATGTCGGCATTCTTTCAAAGGGATATACTACAAATGAACATGTAAGTATAACGTTTCATTGTTCAACATGACCGACATTTAATCTAGGCCCCTTGAAACCACATTGATTCTCTGTAGGTGACAAAGAAGTTTCCTTCCAAGTCTAATCCATACTCTGCTAACTGTTCAAGTCACTGGACGCGGCTTTGCTGCACCTCCGAGTATCCGTCGTAAGTGAAGTTTTTTTGTTGTGTTCTATTTGCCGTCGATTCGGTGTCTACGAATAATCGTGACTGGCTGCATGAAGTTATTCCCTCAAAGGCTGAAAAATGTGTCCAGTTGAATAGGCCATAGTGCTGCTGCTTTTTCGATGTCAGTTAAAAATGTCATCGGTTATGGCAATTATGATTTCGGGGAATAAATATAATTTATGCTTTTTTGCATCTTCAAAAGCGTTTGTTGGTTCAAAAATGTACAAATTCACAAAGTACCTTGTCACTTACCAATATAAGTTGATGTGTATATCAGCTCCCACCATATATTATATTGGCGTATATTTATTGCATTTTGATGTTTTCCTTGCAATTAGGAGAATGTGGCATCGAGTTACTCTGTAGCATCCCACTCAACGAAGTCGAAACTAAAAATTATTTAGGGGCTAGAAAGCATATATGGAAGGCTCAAATCACGCAGTGGCTTGAGGATTCCAGGCCCAAACAGCATGGAGAATCTTTCCTAGAAAAGTTACAAGAAGTTTTGTCAGGCACACAGTAACACATTTTCTGGCCTTTTCATGGCGAAACAAAGCGACTTTCCTTTTTCTAATGCTGACACCATTGTTTGGTTTGCCTACGTGCGAGGAATTAGTGCAATAAAGTGTGTGGTATGGTGACTGCAACACGTGGTGGACGAAACTTTCTAAACTCCACCAGGTTAACCCCAGAACTGGTCTTTTTTTATTTGCATGGTCCTCTCTACCGGCTCATCCCACATTTTACTCTTTTTTTTAATTGCAAAGCGAATTTGACTTATTTTCATCCTGGTCGAAGACTGCTGCTGCTTATTTCTGAGTTGAGTGTCACTAGTTCAAGTCAGGTTTTGTATACAATTCCCAGACAAGTCAACAAACCCACTGACTCAGTTGAGATATTTGAAAATATGATTTTTGTGCACGAAGAAGGGATATTGCTTTATTGCTTTTTCTATGACTTCTAAGTCACCGATGGCAATATTTTGGTTCGGCTGGCTGTTGAATTTGGCAATCGATCTCAATCTATTTTAGGATGTGTGGTAGGCGATCGGGACATTCGGTTAGCAAGAAACTCAAAAGACAAGTAAAATTAGAAGGAAAAATTCGTGTCTCACTCTAGGAAAGGTCAATGAATTTGTGCTTTTCTCACAAGGGATGTTTGCTACTTTATGACTCATGGGATTTCTGCGAATCGTCACTGTTTGTTTTTTACTTAGTAGCGTATTTAAATTAGTTTTCGTGTGTGTTGTCTTTGTACCTGAAATTGAAACACTTCATCCGTTACATTTATGACGCTGTATTGTCGTTTTAGACGACAAAAGGTATTGAGTGTGAGTGAACATTGATCGTTCGCAATCGTAAATACACTTATCACATCTCACAATCTTCAATTCTATTCTGTGAAGCAGTTTTGTCGACTTCTTGCTTATCCAACATCATAACGTGTTAACGTATTGCTATAAGATGCGTGAAGTAGGTGCGTGTACTTTCTTGTAGTCATGTCGACGCGGCATCAGTCAAGGAGATGGTTAAAGTGAACGAAAGAAAGCGGAAAATGTACAAACGTCTGGCAGCGGAGAAAAGAAACAGGGTGGCCGACTTGAGTAAGAAGGCGGGTGACGATGCGAGCGAATTCTGCCTTGCTTCTGTGAACGGTGATCGGTTCTCACGGAAGGCTGTCGGTGGAGCCAGCGGAAGACCCTTGCTGGGGCCCACAGGCGACTACGACGTTGCCGACGCCCCGGAAGCGAAAGTCGCCTCTTACGCCTGGTCACCAGAATGCCCATCTGTTACTACAGTGCCTCGTCTTTGCCCGAGCCCCAAGGAATCTAAGGTCTCAGTTTTGAGCTTTTTTTGGTGTTGTTCATGGTTGAATCGGAACAGTTTATATTGCGTGTTTTACCAACGTAGTGGTATATTGCACAAAAGGTGGTCTAGATGTGAATTCCATGACAAAACAGAGGTTCTAGTATATTGCTGGTATTATCTACGCACAACATTAAGTCGTCGTCATTTTACCAGTCTCTCAGTGAGCCTCCCTCGCGTTCGCAGGGCGGCGATCCCACCGCAATGAGTCTGTCTGCGTGGAGCAACGAAGATGCGGCATCGTTGGGCACCCTGGATCGCCTCGTTGCCCTCAGGGGCGCCAGTGAGCAACGCGAAGGTGGTGAGGGTTCGGCTAGGTCAGGACGCAATCAGCCCACGGCAATGGGCGCAATCCATCCGGGCACCCGGAGCCTTGGTGCACGGTCCGCTGGCGGTACGACGAGAGCACAGAGCAGTGGAATCGTCGTTGTCGAGGGGAGGGGCGGTGGAGATGGAAGTAGTCTTCTCAGTGGCGCCAGCGGTACGACCACCAACACCGGCCCCACGCCTTTCACTCTTTTTGGTGGACTGCACGGTGTTCTGCCACATAGCACCAACAGAGAGGTTGGTTTTTATTTTGTCTATTCTTTATTCTGCATTCTCTCATCAGTTTGTCACATGCATATGCACTTTTTTTTAATGCAAAGCCAGTTTGTTATGTTAATGGCCAAATTTCATCGAACCTCTCGAGATTTATTCGATATATCTAGTAAATTTGATTTGCGTCCTGTTTTCATTTTTTGGTGCCAGCCTTTCTTAATCAAAACCGATGTTTGTGTTGTCCCTCGTTGGTTTTGTTAGTCAATGGGCTCTGCCCTTTCATTGGGGCTTAAACAATTTTTGTGCGAATTTCGACTACTTAATCACTGTTCATTTGGATACTGTCTGCACGTTAAGTCAGGGTGAATCCTGTCCGAAATCCCCATGGTTAGAAGAAAAGTTATTTTTCCTACTGCCGTAGCTATGGCATTCCTATTTCCACATCCAAATTATAAAAATGCGTAACGTCCGGGTAAACTCATATTCGAGAGAAGTTATATTGGTGGTAAATTAGGTATCTAAATATACGTCACTTATGTCTGATGTGTATGTTCTAGTAAGAGATTTAGATTCGCCCCCATAAAGCGATGTTATTCCAATCACCACTGAGCCAATTGCAACTAACAGTAGTAATGCTTTTTGCTGGCTTTTTTAGTTTTTTTTTACCGTTTTCTTGTCACACTTTTCTGTATCTGTTATTCCTGTACGTTGCTGTATTTCTGCACAAAATTACACTGTTAACTTCCTTTTGGGGACAGATCTTGTGCTTTCTTTCATGGCGCATTTTTGAGCTATTAGATGACCTTTCTAAAGGAAATGCGAAGGAATTTAAATCATGCATTATTAATTCGTGAACCCTGATGGTCAAATCTGGTTTTAGCCGGATTTTTGCATAAAAGTCACAATCGATTTGCCATTCGAATCTAAAAATGAATAATAATATCCACGCGTTTTTTAATGTTTGCAAAACCACATTTTCCAGACCCTTAAATTCAGCCAGAAAGCGTAGGCCACATTTCAGAACAATGGATTAATGTGTTTTGGTGCAAATGTGGCCATCGCTGCACTTCCTGTCCTAGTCGGCTCCCGATGGTGCTTTGTAATTTTGATTATCATTTATTCGTGAAATTGGCAGGACACAACTTTCTCTTCATCCCATTATTGACTAAAGGTCAAGACTGTCAGACGTTTTTTATCACTTTTACAAACAAAAGTACAATGCCGGTTTATATTAACTAATGATCTCGTAGTACGCCAGTTTTTCACGGTCAGAAGTGATCAAAACTATGGCTGGCATCACGTCAATGTTACCACCGATGGTGTTTCGTTTTTAAAGCCTCAATTTGATTTCAGTCGTTTCTACACCTGTTGTAGTTTTTGACATGCTTTGCACTTCTACAGACAAGAAATCTGAATGCGCTCAATATTTTAAGGAGAATAATAATTTTAGTCAATCAGACTCCTTCACAACCTCTCGTGATGGAAGTAGCGAAGCGAGAAACTATGCACCAGAACTTTGAAGTTAATGCTGCAAGTTGCTCTAATACTTTTTTTGTGTTGTGACATCGAGTTAAAAGGTGGCTTTTTGGTTTGATCCGCGTGAGTTTTAATTTAAGTTTATTTATTGGGAGGCTAATGTAGTTGTAATGTATCGTCATTTAGTCTGCGCTGTGGAAATTACTCACTTAGCCTCCGTTGGTAGTCTTGGCAAGTGTTCTGCGTACTTTGCATATGTTAATTTGCCAGTTTGATGTATCCGACGTCCGACTGTGGCAAGTCACGTCTGATTAATAAATATTTGCAATTACTCAAAACACCTAGGGATTGGTCCATAAAATGTGCAAGTAAACTAGCGTAACACAATTACGTAAACTGAACAATTGAGTGGTTTCGTTCGATTCTCTTTTTTAATTAACAGTCTAATGCCATTTTATCGTTTACGTCTTGCTAGCTTTTTTCGTAATTAAGATCACGCTGTGTTAGCTTTTGGGTGTAATTTGTAGACGTATAATTATGCACATACATGCTATCTCCTCGTTAGGTCCATTGATTACAGCCCAAAAGTACACATGGTTATTAGAGTCCTTTTACAACCTTGGGTAACAAATGCCTTCCCCCGATTGGGAGCATTCGTGAGTGGTTGCTGCTACATTCGAACTGATCGGTTTTAGTGCAACAACTTTACAATTGCCAGTCTCTTCTGACATCAACTTTTCACGACTCAAGCGCTGTTTAGCCATTTTAAGTAAAAATAAGGTCCATTTTTTTTTCAAGTTCTCTGAATGGAATTTCACCTTTAAATGCCTTTATCTTTTGGTTTCCTGTGCGAAGCCAATTTATGAGTTTTGGAGACGTGTTTTTTAACTGTCGTGAGTTGTGCGTGTTCTTTCACATGTTCCGTTGCTCTAGCCATGCATCGCCTATCCTTTGTCGCCTCAAATACCGACGATACAGCATTGTAACTTGGATTGTGGCCAGTTTGTTGGGCCTGACTACAAGTCAATGCATGTCCTTGTTCATTTGCGGTGTCCTCGTCCGCGCCTTAAAGCATCCCAGTGCCCTCATTAAATAATATTGA